GAGCTAACACCTGTTGCCAATCTTCCTCTTCCCCCGCCAAAGCCCCAGCACATAGTTGTGTATCCTAGTTGTAGGTCCTTCTAGTTCTTCTATGTGGGACGCCGCCTCAGCGTGGCTTGATCAGCGGTGTGTAGGTCCACACCCAGGATCCGAACTGGCGAACCCCGAGCTGCCAAGGTGGAGTGCGTGAGCTCAACCGCTACGCCACCAGGCCAGCCCCTGATTGGCTCTTGTAGCTAGAAGATTCCAAGAGGAAAGCTTTAGGCATTTCTGGATTTGGGGCCTGGAAGGCAGCATCGAGACGTTGTGGGTCTCTCTCTGTCTTTGTCACTTTTCTCGTCCCTCCATCCCCCATCCCTCCACCTGTGGTCTCTGCTTCCTCTGGGGGGCTCCCCTGTCCCCCCAACAAAACCTCGCTGGCTCTGGGCCCTGTGGTGCCCCCGGCTCTCCCGCTTCTCAGTTTATCCTGCAGCAGTTTCCCTGTCAGCACAGAAGGCCCCCGCGTGTTTATGCGGCGCCAAGTTCCGTGTCTGGGAGGAAGGATGCGCTCTGTAACCGGCCCCCGGGCATTGGCCTGGTTTCCAGGATTTTTGTTTCACAAGCAGCGCTGCCTTGAACCCCCGCATGCACAGACCTCGCTCTGCTGTGCGCGTGTCTGTGGCCGTAGATCTTATTTTGAAAGCGATCACCAGCCGCACTCCGCCAGGGCTGTCCCGTTGACACTCGCATCGGCTCTGCGCGAGAGCGTGCGGGGATTTTTGCGAGGTCAAAACTCAACTGAAGTCGCTTTGCAGTTGATTTTGGGGAGGCCGTGTGGGTGTGTTCTGAGAAGCTTCCCAAGGCCCCCCCTCTGCCCATGGAGAGGTCATTTCTCCCGTCGTGGCTGCTGGGATCAAAGCTCAGGGTTGGTCTGACTCAGGGGTCCTCACAAGGAGGTGGCGTTGCCCCTGGGGGGCATTTGTCACCGTCCTCGGACATTCTTGGTTGTCACGACTGGGGAGAGGGTGCCGCTGGCATGCAGTGGTGGAGGCCTGGGGTGCGGCTCAGCATCCCACAGCGCACAGGCCGGCCCCACCACAGAGTCATCTCGCCCAGTGTCGCTGGTGCAGGTGAGGACGCCGGGTCCCAGTGCGTCCCCTGGGGTGGCAGCCTGTCCCCTGCAAAGGTCCTCTTCCTGGGGGCACCTTGGTTACCAACCCTTCTTCATCCCCTCGACCTCTGCTCACATCAGGGCTGGACACAGGAGCTAACAGGTGTCTAGAGCTCTCTGCACACGGCCTGCTCGCAGGGCGCTCCAAAAACGCCAGGTGGCTTTTTCCTGAGGATAGTGGGCTCCCGCCGTCACCGCAGACGTCTCCAGAGGGGAAGGCGTGGCCTTCTGCCCCCGGCTGGCCCCTTTCCCAGTCCCTCCAGCTTGGTCAGCGGCTCCTCCGTCCCCAGCTGTGCAGGAGACCTCCGGGTGCTCCCCACGGTCCTCCGCCACCCTGGCCCTCCAGGCAGTTGCCAGGTCCCTCCCGTCCACCTCCTCCAGGTCTCCGCCAGGATCTCCCCGGGAGTGGCCCGCTGTGGGGTCGCTTGTGCAGTCACCCTCAGGCGGTGAGCTCCGTGGAGGGCAGGGTCACGTCTGGATCCAGTTGTCTGTGTCCCTGCAGGTGATGGCCTGGTGCAGGCGGAGTCCCCACCCATATTTATCAAGTCTGCGAGTCCAGTCTTCCCGCACGGACTGGCCTGCCTTACACGGCCTCCCTGTCCACCCGGTACAGGGGACATTTAAAGACTCAAAACCTAACTGCCCCTTCAGGATCATTCTAGGGTCAGGTCTGCTTCCTCTGGGGATGATTTACCCAGAGGCAGTTGGTCCCTTGGTTAGAAACTTAGTGAGATGCTGCTTGAGGAACCTGGTGACCTTGGAGCAACTTGGAGTGACATCTCGCCTCTGCTTTCTGGCAGCTCCTTGCCTTGGCCGGCGTGGCTGACCGCCCCTCAGATTCTAGACCAAGCTAAGCTCGATCCCACCTCAGGACCTTTGCACCTGCCATTCCCACAGGCTGGAATGCTTTTCTCTTCATTTTTGCATGACTGGCTCCTTCTCCTTACTGGCTCTCAGATCCTGGGGCCTTCCCTGATCGCCTCACCTGTTTCGTGCACAGCCCTCATCCCCATCTGGAGGGAAGTGTGTGTTTCATTTGTAATGTCCCCACTCTCCCTCCTCCAACTTGGAGGCCCAGCAAAGGGTCCCTGTTCCTCTTGCTCATGGTGACTTCCCCAGTCCCTAGAAAGTGCCACTCCTTGAATGAAGAAAACGCTAACAACCATTTTTATTGCCTTCCAAAACTTTCAACTCACAGTTTAAAATAGAAAAAACAAGAAGACATGTGACGAGTCCTGCTGTGGAGTCACAGATGAGCCTCTGGAAAGACCCCTTGAATGTGCGCTCCCGCCACTGCTTCAGGTGAAATTTCTCCTCGGTCTCGATCAGCGTCAGGGAACTCGGCGGTGCGTCCAGATAATGTGAACGTCCTCCCTTCCACTCTCCTGTCCTTTCAGCCGTCGTCCCCCGCCAGCTGCTGGGGTTGTGGGTGGAGAAGACCCCCAGCTCACACTCGGGGGGTTGGCTGGCCCCTCAGGGGGGACCCTTCCTGCCATCGGCACCTCGATGCTTTGGTAATAAATTGTTTCGCTGGAGCTTGGAGAGTCGAGGGTCTGCAAGAGAAGTTCCTTCTGGAAAATTTACCTCTGTTTTTCCCCATCCCTCCATCCCTTCAGCATTTCATCCAGCCACCCACTCTCATTCGTCTATCCAAACGTTCACGGAGACACCCAATCATCCATTCTTCTACTTATCCATCCAAGGGCTATCCACATACTTGTCCAGCCATCTGCCTCCCACCTACCCTTTCATCCACTCTTCCCACCCTCCATTCATTCATTCATACCTACCTATTCACCTGTCATCCCTCCCTCCAGTCATTCAGCCTTTCATCCCTCCTTCGTTATCCATCCATTCACCCCTCCCTCCATTCATGCCTCGTTTCATCTTCTTCCATCCTTTCATCCCTCCCTTGTCTAATCTATCCATTCATCCTTTCTTCCCTCCCTCTATTCGTTCATCCATTCATCTTGCCCTCCATTACATCCCTTCATTCATTTGTCCCTACCTCTCTTCATTCATGCTTTCATCCCCCTTCCATTCATTCATCCATTCATCCTACCCTCCATTACATCATCCCTCCTTCCATTCATCCTTCCTTCCCTCCCTCCATTTGTTCATTGGTTCATCTTTTCCTCCATTACATCCCTTCCTGCCTCTGTTCATTCATGCCTACCTCTATTCATTCATCTTTTCATCCCCTTCCATTCATTCATGCATTCACCCTACCTTCCCTTCATTCATCCTCCTTCCATTCCTTCGTCGTTCCTTCCCTCTCCGTATTCCTTCATCCTTTTCTCCCTCCGTTCATGTACCACTCACGCCCCCATCTGCTTCCCTTCCTCTCTTCCTTCCTTTTATCTGGTAAATATTCAGCAGGCACTTCTTGAGTGTGTGCTACATGACAGGCACTGTGCTGCACGGAGGACCCCGATGAACGAACACACCCAGGGCCTTGAGCTTTGGAGCCCACAGTCAGGTGGGAAGAGGTGGCGTTCAGTGAGGCTTCAGGTCGTGCTCAGCCCTCTGCAGTGAAAGCGTGGTGCTCTGACGGAGAGCGAGGAAGCCAGGGCTGGCAGGGCACCTTTGGGGAGAGCCTGGACACAGAGAGGCCGAGGAGAGGCTGGTGCAGCCGCCCTGCCAGGGACATGAGGCCTGGGCCACAGCAGTGGGGCAGTAGGGGAGGAGGACGGCCGGGGGAGAGATTTCAAAGGCCGTGAGGCCAACAGCGCATGGTGAATGGTTAGACTGGGGGGCACTAAGCAGGGGGAGGAGATGAACCCCCCTACCCAGTTTGGGCTTGAGCGTGCTGAATCACCCACCATACTTGGGATGGGGAGATGCGGAGGCCAGGCGGGGGCAGAAACTGCTCCGAGACGCCCCCACTGGCCTGCTCAGGAGAGGCCTCCTGTCCTGGTTGGAAGAGGTGTGTCTAACCCTTTCCAGAAGGGGCTATTCCTCAACGAGAGAGAAAACCCATCCGAAACTCCCCTGCATGTCGCCCCTCTTTGTTCACGAGTCACAAAAGGCGAAGGACATCATCGGCCCTTCTGGGCTCCAAATCGGGTACGAGGACGGTCAGCGCCTGTCGCTCCCGTCCTCCTGGCCCCGGGCCCAGTCAAGCACCCCCTCTGTGCTCCCCCTCATCTCTGAGCAAGCAAAGCCCGCAGGGCCCGGCGCTGCTCAGACAGCGGGAGAATCCCACATCCAAGGAGCATGAGGACAGTTTCCCTCCGTGTCCCCAAACCCACTCTGGTCGATCTGTCTCCTGAGCCGGCTTCTTAACCTCGTGTGTTTTGACAGCTCGTCCCCCTAACTCTGAAAGAGGAGGGTGTTGTCATCAGCTTTAGAGAGAATCACGCGGCCCAGGGGGTGGGGATGACCTGCATGTCACCACGCGGCTGATGGTGGCTGGAGCCCCTCCGTCCCCTACACCCACCTCTGCCCCAGAATGAAACCCTGGCTGCAGGCTCATCAGATGCTTGTGGTGCTGGTGGTGAGTGTTTTAAAATAACTTTTGATGCAGGACAGCTTGAAGCCTTCAGTGAATGCAGGTGTGTGGTGTCTCAAAGAGGAATGAATGACTGGAGGGAGGGAGGGAGGAAAGGATGAATGGATGGACGAAAGGATGAATAAACGGAAGGAACGAGGAATAGATGAATGAATGGAGGGGCTTGAATGGTTGGAGAAGAAGATTGGCAACTGTGTGCCAATACGTGTCCGACATATTGGCTCATCGCACCAATGCTGAGCATGTTTCCTCGTTAGTAGAAAAAAGCAACTGGGCATTCAGTGGAAAAAAGAACAAAAGTGGGATGTGACCACTGTAAAAACTACATAACAACATAGGTTGTAACTGCAAGGAATTTTATGAACAAATTCTGCAAAAAGAAGAAGCCATTAAAGGGAACCAAAACATCGGGGACGTATAATTAAAGAGAGAGCTATGTAATCTGGATGGCCCTTCATTTATTTCAGATACTCAGTGAGTGGCTCTCTGTGGGGTAAAATACCCGAGTTGGGTTTCCAGGAAGGAGGCGGTGAGAGAGCCCGGCCGGCAGGGCGTCCACGAGGAGGTGCCCCAGGGGTCGTCCCCTGGAGAGGAGGAGGAGGAGGAGGAGGCAGGTGGCCCAGAGGGAGAACCGAGCGGCGACGCAGCCCGACGACAGCCGAAGACCGGCCTGTGGGGAGCTCTGAGCTAGAACAGACCTGCTGGGTGGCCCCCATTTGGGCCAGGATGGCGGCACCCGTACACCAGCCCAGCTGCCCTGGGAGGTGTGGCCTCGGGCACCGTGCCCTCTGCCCACGCACCCTGTCGGATGCCTTGGGTTAATGACTGCCTCGACGCCCCACAGCCACCCTGTGGGGTAGGTTGGTTGTGTCCATTCTACAGAGAGGAACGCTGAGAGGTCCGGGGACTTGCTCAAACTCACGCTTGTAATTGGTGACGGGGCTGAAATCTGAGCCCAGTTCTGCCCACCAGTCACCACACTAGTGTGACTCCCGTACACTCACTGGCAGCCCGTTTACATAGAGACCTGCACCCTCAGGGATTGGCCCCTGAGGTCCCCCTTCCCGGGGAAGCCCCGAGTCCTCCGGCTGAGGCCGCTGGAGCTGGGGCCGTCATTTGCGGATCTTGACCTCACAGTACTCAGTGGTGCTGGTGGCCTCCTGGTCACAGGGCTCCCGGGGCCTCAGCTCGCAGAAAGTGAGGGAGGCGTAGTGGAGCTCCTCCTCCTCTCCCATGCCCGGGGCGGCCACAGCTGGGGGCAGGCGGTCTAGGGAGCTGCCTGGCAGGCACTCGTATTGGTCAGCCTGGGTGGAGGGGAGAGAAGAGGCTCAGATGAGGATAACGGTGGCCGGAAGGGAGCAAGGAAGGCCCACAAGCAAACCTGGAACCTGAGCATTGAGTCTCTCATCTATTCATTCCACAAACTGGCTGAACCCCCATTCATTCATTCATTCACTCAACAAACATTTGAGAGTAATGATGCCTGGCTATTGATAATCAAGTGCCAGCCTCCTAGATGGCTTACAACAATCCACTGGGGAGACCCTGTTATCCTCCTTTATCAGATAGAGAAACTGAGGCCAATAAATACCCCAAAATCACACGTTTAGTTGTTGGTAAGGTCAAGATTCATACGCAGGTCTCTCTGCCCCATGCCCACTGCCTTATGGAACAGCTCCCCTGCGCCAGGCCCTGGATATGCAGTGGGGAACAGAGCAGACGCCATCCCTGAAGCCCCACAGCTTGCAGTGCGGGAAGCACACATTAAAGTAGTAGTCAATTATATGACTATCTAATTGCAAATGGTGACAAGATGCACAGGAATGGGGCGGGTGGTGTGAGAAGGGCAGGGATTTGCTCAGACCTGGACTGCCCTTGGGGACCACTCAGCATTTCGGAAACTCAGGTAAACGCAATTGCAAAATTGTGTTCTGAACCCCAAAATCAAAGAATGTTGTGCAGTAAAGGGTTAACCTCGCCCAAAGCAAGCTTCGACCCTTCGCCCAAGCACCCGGCAGGGAATCTCTGACCTTTGGACTGTCCTGCCTGATAGGAGTGTCTGGGTTTACCTGGGACCTTGGGCCACGAGAGACAGTCTGTGCTGACAACGGTGATTGACGGTGGGGCCTTGGGCCACGTGGTATCTCCCTGACCCCTGGACTAAGGTCAGCCACATGGGCAGTCAGCCATGTCTACATGACCAACTGCCAATAAAAACCCTGGACCCCGAGGCTCAAGTGAGCTTCCCCAGTGGGCAGTACCCTGTCTGTGGGCACATGTCATTGTGGGAGAAGTAAGTACCATCTTCGTGACGCCATTGGGAGCCACCCTGGAGGCTCATTCCTGGTCTCTCAGAACCCAGCCCTGTGAGCCTTTCCCCTCGGCTGATTTTACTCTCTGTCCGTTTGCTGGAATAAATCATAACTGTGAGCACAACAGTTTTCAGTGAGGCCTCGGAGCAAGTTATTGAACCTGAGTGTCTTGGGCACCCCTGAGCTTGCATTTGGCGTCAGAGGGAGAGTGGTCTGGGGGACCCCTGAACTTTGTTGTAGACAGTTATGATCCTGGGGAGATCTCTTTGGCAGCCTGTGTTGGGGAGGAGAGTTAGAAAGGAGGAGGAAAGTGGGTCACGGGCCCAGAGAGAAATGAGGAGGTGGCGGTAGGGAAGGTCCCGTTGGAGCTGGCACGGTGAGATGGACGGGCGTGGGGGTCCTAGGCTCTGAGAGCGGAGATGGAGAGCAGAGGGGAGGCGAGTCCTGGGTCACTGGACCTGGGGACTGAGTTGATGGGGACCGAAGAGCAAAAGCCTATTTATGGCATGATGACCATCTAAGTCATCAAGAGGAGTGTGGCCGTGGGGACGTGGCCAGATGGGATCCTGATGGACAGAGAGCTCATCACTCACCGGGGAGATAGGACCCAGCCTGGAGGGGGCATCCTCACCAGCTGCCGCCTCGGGTGTCGCCTTCCTGCAGGTCTTCACTCTGAGGGGGGGAGGCCGGGACCGTTGACCAGCCGGCTGGCTCAGAGCTTGGAGTGTGGCTACGGTCCCCCTGCTTAAGAGGCTGAAAGAGCTGACCAAGGCCTGGAGGTGGGGGACACACCTAGCCTGATGACTTTCATAATGACAACAGGGGCCCTTCACGGATGGCTGGGATCGGGGGGCGGGAACAGACCCTGCTCTGATTCTCTGGCCCCAGACCCAATTCTCACAAGCTCAGCACCGTCCAGATTCCTCCAGCTGGGGCCGTCTGGGATCCCGGGACCTGGACCCCTGCCCACCGCCGGCACCCAGCCTCCCTCCTGGGGACAACACTCACATGAGGAAGAGGACACAGGTGCAGAGACTGAGCAGGCCGGCAACACCAGCTCCCCCGAAAGCCCCCAAAACGAATCCTTCCCCGAGCTCGGGCTTCCCTGCCGACGAGTGGGGTTTGGGGTGACTCCCCTCCAAACCCCAGCACCCTCGTGCCCCCTCCTCCCACGGAACTTGAGCTGTCACGTTCCTCAGCTCCCAACCAGCTAAAGAACGGGACTCTGCCCCCCCAGCCCTTCCTCTCACGCTTTCCCATCCAGGCCCCAGCCGCTCCCCCTCCAAGCTTCATCTTCTCTAGGATGGAGAGTCCTTCCTCCCTAAGCCTCACCCCTCGGCAGACCCCTGACCTGGCAGCAGCAGGACAGTCATGCTCCGGGCCCCGTGGACATTCGTGGCCTCGCAGCTGACTCTGAGGCCGGAGCTGAGCCCCTCGATGAGGCTCAGGGAGCTGTTGGCCCAGGGCCCAGAGGAGCTGGAGGTGATGATGAAGGAGGCGTTGCTGCTGTTCCCCTCCAGCAGACGCTCCCCCAGCCGCCAGCGCAGGGAGGGGGCCGGCTGGGCTCGGGAGGAGCAGCCACAGTGCAGACCCTCATCCTCCCAGGAGCAGGAGGGTCCCAGCAGCTGTGGGGGGTCTGTGGGGAAGGAGGAGAAGTCAGCGGTGCCTCTGCCTGCCCAGGACTCCCCTCCCTGGTCCTCCCACACTCACAGTGCACAGAGAGGTGCAGGGAGACGCGCAGGGAGCCCCGAGGATGCTGAGCTTGGCAGATGAATTCGCCTTCATGCTCCGACTCCACCCGGGGCAGCTCCAGGAGCCCGGGCCTCGAGGCCTGGAGGGGACTCAGGGTCTGGTTCCCCTTGACCCAGCTCAGTGTAGCCGGAGGGTTGCTGTCGGCGACACAGACCAGGCGCAGGGACTCCCCTTCCGGGATGGTAAGAGACGAGCCGTTCCCTGGGTATTTCAGTTCTGGAGAGAGAGAGACAGAGAGAGACAGAGAGAGAGAGAGAGAGAGAGAGAGAGCACACTGAGCTCAGGCCTGAGGCTCAGAAGCTCTGCTCCTATTTCTCTCTCCTCTCCTTTGTTTCTGTTTTGTTTTGTTTTTGAGGAAGACTGGCCCTGAGCTAACATCTGTGTCCATCTTCCTCTACTTTATATGTGGGATGCCTGCCACAGCGTGGCTTGATGAGCGGTGTGTAGGTCCACACCCAGGATCCCAACCCGTGAACCCCAGGCCGCCAAAGCGGAACATGCGAATATGACCAGTACGCCAGGGGCCGGCCCCTCTCCTTTGTTTCTAAGTTGGGAAGCGACCTCCACAAGCAATTTGTTGACCAGCTTTATTGAGATATAATTCACATACCATGCACTTCCACTTACATGCCGTTTAAAGAGTCGGGCAACCATCACCACAATCGATTTTACAATGTTTTCATCACCCCAAAAAGGAAAAGGGGAGCATACGAGAGAGTGTGGCTGGAGAAATCAAAGCGTAGCTTAAAGAAAGCAGCCTGTACCCTCGCCTCCCCCGGTCCTTCCACCCCGCAGCCCTAAGCAACCACTGACCACTTTCCATCTCGATGGCTTCATCTGGATTCGTCTAGTCTGGACACTGCGTGCAAATAGAATCATCTAGTATGGGGCTTTTGTGTCTGGCTGCTTTCGCTCCTCATGTTTTCCAGGTTCATCCACATTGTAGCGCCTGTCAGAACTTCCTTTTCATGGCTCAGTCACATCCATCGTCTGGATAGACCAGTCTTTGTTTATCCGTCCATCCATTGACGGACACTGGGTTGTCCCTGGACCTCTTTTTTTTTTTTTTTGAGGAAGATTAGCCCTGAGCTAACTGCTGCCAATCCTCCTCTTTTTGCTGAGGAAGACTGGCCCTGAGCTCACATCCGTGCCCATCTTCCTCTACTTTATACGTGGGACACCCACCACAGCATGCCGTGCCAAGCTGTGCCATGTCCGCACCCGGGATCCGAACCAGCGAACCCCGGGCTGCCAAAGCAGAACGTGCACACTTAAACGCTGCGCCACCAGACCGGCCCCATCTCCTGAACCTCTTTGAGGCAATTTGTCCTTGTCCACATGTCTCTCTCCCCTTCCTGAACAGTTCAGCATCCCTCATCCAGGCGTCCCAAATTCAAGGGCCGAATCCTTCAAGGTTCTCCGGGACCCGATCTCTACCTCCTCGTCTCCTTTCCCCCGTTATCTCAGGATAAGCAGGAAGTTCATATTTTGCATCCTAAAAGTCACAAAGGAGGAAGGGGTGTTGGGAACCAAGTCTCCCCGCCACACGGACTCCCCAGGCAGCTAATTCCTCTTGCCAGAGGCTACGCGTGTTCATGCAACTGTTCAGAGCAGCACTGTTCACGTTAGCCACAAGGAGGACACAACCCACGTGTCCGTCAACGGACGGATGGAGAGACAAACGGTGGTCCATCCAGACAGTGGAATATTATTCAGCCACAAAAAGGGACGGAGCCCTGATCCAGCCTACAATGTGGATAAGTCTTGAAAACATAATGCTGAGTGAAAGAAGCCAGACCCAAAAGACCACATCCTGTAGGACTCCATTTATGTGCAATGTCCAGAACAGGCAAATTCATGGAGACGGAAAGGAGACCGGTAGTTACCCCGGGCTGGAGAGAGGGAGGAACAGGGACTGGCTGCTTCATAGGTACAGAGCTTTCCTTGGGGTGACGAGAATGTTCTGGAACTAAATAGAGGTGGTGTCTGCACAACATTGTGAATGTCTCAAATGCCAGTGAATTGTTCACTTTAAAATGGCTGATTCTGGGCTGGCCCCGTGGCCGAGTGGTCAAGTTCACGCGCTCTGATCGGCGGCCCAGGGTTTTGCTGGTTCAAATCCTGGGCGCGGACATGGCACCACTCATCAGGCCACGCTGAGGTGGCGTCCCACATGCCACAACTAGAAGGACCCACAACTAAAATATACAACTATGTACCAAGGGGCTTTGAGGAGAAACAAGAAGGAAAAAAGAAGATTGGCAACAGATGTTAGCTCAGGGCCAATCTAAAAATAAATAAAATAAAATGGCTAATTTTGTTATATGAATTTAATTTCAGTTGAAAACAATAAATAGGCAGGAACACGTATGTTTCAGTCCTATTAACATGATGTTTTCAAAAGCATGGTAAATTAAACATCGCATAGGGATTCAAACATAGGAAGTAAAATTACAAGAAAAGAGAAGGAATGTGGACGTGTTCATTAACGTGATTGTGGTAATCGTTTCACAGTGTGTATGTATATCAATCATGTTGTATGCTTTAAATATACACAATTTTTGGGTCAATTATACTTCAATCAAAAATAAAGTTAAATAAAAGAAATGAGAATGGGGCCGGCCCAGTGGCGCAGCAGTTAAGTGCGCAGGTTCCGCTTCAGCACCTGGGGTTCACGGGTTTGGATCCTGGACACGGACCCATGCACTGCTTGGCAAGCCATGCTATGACAGGCATCCCACATACAAAGTAGAGGAAGATGGGTATGGATGTTAGCTCAGGGCCAGTCTTCCTCAGCAAAAAAGAGGAGGATTGGCAGCAGGTGTTAGCTCAGGGCTAACCTTCCTCAAAAAAAAAAAGCAAAAAGAAATGAGGAGACAAAATTCAGCATAGTGGCTTTCTTTGAGGCAAGATGGAAGGGCCCAAACTTGGGAAGGGGTATTTAGGGTGCCCCAAAGATGGGGTTGCCGTTCTTTTTCTTAAGCTCAGTGGTGAGAACCAAGGCATTCATTTTATGATGGTTCCTCATAACTTGCACATATTTGACAAAAAGTCTTTTGAGGGAATGAAGAGTAAGGAAAAACCATATGTTAGAGAGTGTATGTCCGGGGCTCCCATCTCTGCTCTCCCTGCGTCTCTCCACGGGCCACCTGCTCCTGTCCCCGCCTTGGGGAGGGGATGCCCCGTCCTACCTGTGCAGTTTCCCCGGAAGATGCTGATGGTCAGGTCCCATGGAGCATCTAGGACAGCGACACAGTGACGGATGGAGTCAGAGCCGGCCCTTCCGCCCGCCCCCTACGCACCCCGGGAGGCACGGAAATGGAAAGAGAATCAGAAGGAAGCCTGTGTCCTTCCTGCCGTGGACCCCAGCCCTGGCCTCCAGGTCACCGGCGCTCAGCCCCCTCCCAGCCCTTCCCCTCGGCCCTCAGGAAACACTCACAGGACACGCTGAGGGTGAGGGTCCCCTCGGTGCTGACGCCAGCCCTGGGAAAGGTGACCCGACAGGTGAGGTTGGTGCCGTGGTCCTGCGGGCGGGGGGTGAGCGAGATCTCCCAGGAGTTATAGGCCCTCAAGTCCAGGCCCGGGGCTCCGAGGGCGGCCCCAGTCCAGGAGACGATGGGGGGCGTCGGCTGGAAACAGGCCCCCGGCACGGAGCACGTCAGGTGGCTGCGGCAGCCAGATTCCAGGGGCCGGTCGATGTGGATGTCGGGGGTCTGTGTGAGCGCTGGGGAGGAGAGTGGGAGAGGCTGGACCCCCATGGGACCCTGCACGGACCACGCCCCACTGTCCTCCTTAAAGATGCAGGGCCAGGGGGCCGTTCCTGCCCCCGAGGACACACTCCGCCCATCCCTGGAGACCATTCCCTACCTCTCACTGTCACGGGGACCAGGACACTCTTGTGAGTGTTTCTCAAGTCCCCTCCTCTCTCCAGTTGAAAATAATAGAGTCCACTGTCCCCCTTCTTGGCGCCTGCGATGCTCAAAGAGCAGTTGTTGGTCTTGGGGTCCCCGGAGAGGAGGAATGGAAACTTGGTCTTCGCTTTTCCTGTCCTGGCTGGGTTGTTTGTGGCCACGAGAACGTCCTTTGGGGCACTAACCCTTTTCTGGAACCAGGAGCCGTAGGCAGGTGTGGGATCATTCAAGCCAACCCCGACAGAGGACACCGTGCAGGACACGAGGACACACAGGCCCTCCTGCACCGTCACCGACTCTGGCACTTGTATCTCCACCCTCGGATTCTCCTGCAGGGACCCTGGCAGGACACGGAGGCTCAGCTGCAGCCCCACCCCCCTACCCGGCCCAGGAGCCCCGGCCCTGCACCCACTCACCTGCCCACAGCAGGGGCGGCAGCAGCAGCAAGAACATCTCCAGGGTCCTCGGGGCTGGGCCTCCCCCTGGGACCGTCTGGCCTCTGGAGCTGCCTGTCAGTCCACAGGAAGCTCCAACAGGAAGCTTCTGAGAGGGGAGGGGGCAGTGACCATCCACAGAAGAGGAACTGAGGAATGCCAAATGTCCCAGAAGGTCCCCTCTTCCGACTTCTCCTTTCACAGATGGAAGCCACAGGGCAGAGAGAGGATGGGGGGGCGGGGCGCTGGTCTTGTCCCAAATCAGGAAGGAGCCGCTCCAGGTCGGCCTCAAGGGGAGCGAGGTCCCAAGAGATGGGCTGTCAGGAGAAATAGTGAGTAACAGCTTCAGGTAAGGTCATTCGTTCACTCAGTCATTCATTCATTCATCGCCGGGCAGACATGGACTCCATGCAGGCGCTGGGGGCCAAGACTAGAGCAGGACCCCCTGACTCCTGCCCTCAGGGCATCACCCTTGCGTGACCCCAAGCCCAGTGCCCCCACGAGCTCCCTGCCTGTCTCGGGGCTGTGTCTACACAAGGCTCCCAGCTCCACAGTGAGAGCAGCCAGCTGCACAGGGCCACGAGCTCCAAAGGGCTTCCCGCTTGGGGTTTGATGCTTTGAGGTCAACATCTTGAAATCCTTAGTCATTTTATCCTTGAATTCATGTTCTGTAGGTGAACTCTAATGGGAGAATGGGGCACGCACCAGGGGGCTTGAGACCTTGGACCACATGCGGTCATATCTCTGCCACCTCCCCACCTCCTCCATCTCCATGACAGGGTCTCAGCCCCACCTCACCCCCTATGCCCCCACCTGGGCACAGAGAGGGTCTGGGTGATGCTGAGTTGAGAGGCAGGAGCCCAGGCACCCTGAGGGATTGGACATTAACCAGCAAATAAAACCACTTTGGAGGCCAGCCTGGTGGCACAGCGGTTAAGTTCGCATGTTCCACTTTGGCAGCCTGGGGTTCGCTGGTTTGGATCCCGGGTGTGGACATGGCACCGCTTATCAAGCCATGCTGTGGTAGGCGTCCCACATATAAAGTAGAGGAAGATGGGCACGGATGTTAGCTCAGGGCCAGTCTTCCTCAGCAAAAGGAGGAGGATTGGCGGCAGATGTTAGCTCAGGGGTAATCTTTCTCAAAAGAAAAAACCCAGAAAACCACTATGAACAAAATGTGGTCCCTCCACACAATGGAATATTATTCAGCCATAAAAAGGAATGAAGCACTGAGAGATGCTGCAACATGGATGAACCTCAAAATCATCATGCTTAGTGAAAGGAGCCAGGCACAAAAGGCCACATATTGTGTGACTCCATCTGTATGAAACGCCCAGAATAGGCAAATCCACAGAGACAGACAGTGGATCAGCAGACACCAGGCCTGCAGGGAGTGGAGTATGGGGAGTGGCAGCCAATGAATTGGGGTCTCCTTTTGGGGTGATGGAAAAGTTCTGGAACTGGGTAGTGGCGATGGTTGCACAACATGTGACTTAATGTCACTGAGTTGTGCACGTTAAAATGGTAAATTTTATGTGGCCACAACTTCTTGAATGTTAAAAAGCAAAACATCACAACAGGTCAAAAGAGAGAGGCCATGAAAGAAAGGAAAAAGGTTTTTCCTGCTTTTCGTCAAAGGGGCCCCCCATCTTCGTTTTGCTCAGGGGCCTGCAAATCATTTAGCCGGCTCTGGTGAGAAGCTTCCCGTCTTACACCCACCGTGACAGGAGGGCGTGGTCAGCACTGCCCAGGGCTTGCTGGATACGTGTCCCTCTCCTGAGAGTCAGGACCACATGAGAATGAAGGACAAATACCTGCTTGCATCCAGCCCAGCTCCTCAATTTACCAGCTGTGCATCTAGTAAAGAGCTAGCCTTACCCAAAGAGAGGTCTAGCCTTTGCCTGAGCTCCTGGGAAGCGACCCCTAAGCCCTTGGCATGTCCCGCCTGATAAGAGTGACTGGTATGGGGCCAGCCCGGTGCCATAGTGGTTAAGTTCGTGCACTCTGCCTTGGCAGCCCCAGGTTCGTGAGTTTGGAACCCGGGCACAGAACTACACACCGCTCATCAAGCCACACTGTGGCAGCATCTCACATACAAAATAGAAGAAGATGGGCACAGATGTTAACTCAGCGACTATCTTCCTCAAGCAAAAAGAGGAAGATTGGCAACAGATGTTAACTCAGGGCCAATCTTCCTCAGCAAAAAAAAAAAAAAAAAAAAAAAAAACCACTTGGCTTACCTGGGGCCTTGGGCCACACCAGATAGTCTGTGTAACAACATGATTATGGTGGGACCTTGGGCTGTGTGGTATCAGCTTGACCCCTGGAGGGGCTGGAGACTCAACAACTAAGGTCAGCCACATGGGCGCTCCATGCCTATGTGACCGACCCTGTGTCAGTTTCCTGGGGCTGCCGTGGCAAAGTACCACAGACCACACTTACAGAAATTTATTGTCTCACCGTTCTGGAGGCTAGAAGTCTGAAATCAAGGTGCCAGCAGGGCTGGTTCCTTCTGAGGGCCATGAGGGAGAATCTGTTCCAGGCCTCTCTCCTGGCTTCCGGCAGCTTCCAGCTTTCCTCAGCTTATAGATGATGCTCTCCCTGCGTCTTCACATGGTCTTTCCTCAGTACGTGTCTGTGTCTGTGTCCAAATGTCCCCTTTTTGTAAGCACACCAGTCCTACCGCATTAGGGCCCACTCTCATGGGCTCACCTTAACTGATCACCTGCAGAGATCTTATTTCCCAATGAGGTCGCATTCACAGGTCCCGGGGGTTAGGACTCCAACACCTTTTCGGGGGGACACGTCAACCCATGACAGGCCCTCAGTAGAAGCCCTGGACCCCAAGGCCCAGAGGAGCTTCCTCTGTTGGCAACACTCCATACACATCGTCACCGTGTCACTGGGTGTGCTGGTCAGCTTCAGGCTGCCATGGAATTCCACAGACTGGGCAAGAAACAGCAGAAATTTACTCTCTCTCAGTTCTTTTTTTTTTTTTTTTTTGAGGAGGATTAGCCCTGAGCTAATATCTGCTGCCAATCCTCCTCTTTTTGTTGAGGAAGACTGGCCCTGATCTAACATCCGTGCCCATCTTCCTCTACTTTATATGTGGGACGCTGCCACAGCATGGCTTGCCAAGTGGTGCCATGTCCACACCCAGGATCCAAACCAGCAAACCCCGGGCTGCCAAAGCGGAACGTGCAAACTTAACCGCTGCGCCACCCAGCCGGCCCCTCTCTCTCAGTTCTGGAGGCTGTGAGTCCAAGATCAAGGTGCCGACTGGGTGAGGGCCCACTGCCTGGCTTGCACGCGGCTGCCTTCTCTCTGTGTCCTCCCATGGCAGAGAGAGAGATTCCTGGTGTCTCTTCTCATCAGAACACCAATCCTATCTTATCAGGGCCCCCCCCATGACCTCATCTAACCTTCATGACCTTCTTGGCCCTATCTCCCAATGCAGTCACGTTGGAGTCACCATTCAATGTGTCAATTGGGGGGGACACAATTCAGTCCATGGCACTGGGAGAATTAAGTGCTGTCCACACGACCCCACTGGGGGGGGGGACCCTGGAAGCCCACGCCTGGCCTCGCCTGGACGCAGCCCCGTACACGTTTCACTTGCAGATTTTAATCTCAGTTCTTCCACTCAAATAAACCACGAGTGGAACGGTTTCTCTGAGTTCTTTCAGTCCTTCTGGGGGATCACTAAAACTCGGGGTGGTCTTGGGGAACCCCCATAACAGTCTGCTTCCCCCCTCAGGCTGTGGTGCGGAAAACCACGGTTTTCTGAAGTCGGGGCGCAGGTGCCCGCCTGCCTGGGTCTGTGGATTCTGCGTCCCCCATCTCGGCGCCCTCGGTGCGCCCGCGGGTGGACATGCCGCAATGTGCTCGGAACCGGCCCAGAGCTTGTCTAGGTTGGGACGGGAAAATTGCTGAGATTATCACAAATACATAAAAGGAAATGGAACGAACCGTCCGACACCGCACAGAGAGAGAGTATCACTTCCCTTTCGTCTGTAAGCAGTTCCTCGCTTCGCTTCTCAACCGCTCGTCTCTAACCACAAGGCACCAGCGCTTTTAACCAAATGGTCCCAGGTTGGACCACAAGGACACCACCCAGCATCAGCAGAGCCCCTAACCCGTGGCCGGTTGACCCAAGGTCACCGCATCCCCTGCCAATCCTTCTTGTTGACACTGTGACTGCATCGTCCATAGCCCGGCCTGGACCCCACAGACAGCAGTCCGGGAAAGGGCCTCGGGGGCAGGAGGAAGGATGCCGGGACCTCCGTCTGACTCAGTCACTCTGTTTTGTCTTGTTTTGAGTCACTTTTTCAATTTCTGCAGAGTTGCAAAATGGGCCCCTAAAACTTCCCTTCTTTCAAATCAACTAAGCAATTCATTGCTTTTCCAATAGATGGTCAGAAAGAGTGGGGTGTGGTGGGGGGTCAGCCACCGGCAGGATTCCAGGGACCCAGGACCACATGGCCTTGACACATAGCATCACCCAAAGTCAGGAAGTGTCCAGCAGAGGAGAGAAACCCCGTTCTCTCTCTTCTATGGGAGACCTCATTGCCCCGGGTCTCCGTGGCGTGAAAGCCAGGTCCACTTGCCTGGACACGGGGGCCCCCCCCTTCTCAGGAGAAATATCAGGGTGGAGCGTCTAGCCCGGGACTCACAATGAAAAACACCCAAACGTGTGCGTGTAAGCTTGTGTGTGTGTGTGCGTGCGTATGCATGTGTCCCTCTGTCCGTGTCTGAATGTGTGTGTCCACTTTGTATGTATGTGTATGCGTCTTTGTATCTGTGCATCTGCCTGTGGGTGTGCATGTCTGTGTCTCTGAGTGTGTGTTTTGTACCTGCATGTCCATATGCGGCAAGGATATCTATTTGTGTGTGTGTGTGCGCGCACATGTGAGGCATTTGAAACCAGCCTCGTAGGCTAATCCCGAGAGGAGCACACGTATCTTGGGTACCACATTAGGGGTTTGGGGCATTATTTCTGGAGCAACAGGAGCCGTTCAAGTGTCTATAAGCAGAACTGTGCTTATAGTTAAGGAAATATTCAGTGTTTCTCCAGAGGTGTTCACCCATTGATTGTAGAAGGGTCCAGAAGTGGCTGCCCGCAGCCTCTG